AGAAAGTTTTAAGATAAATACTATTTTAGTCCTATCTTTGAGTAAGCAGTTGTTAACAAGTCTGTAGATGTGAAACATCAAAGAGTGAGCGTAACTTAGACGATTTTTCTTGGGTTAAGCTTTTGCATTTCCAGTAAACTACTCAAGATATTTGGTATCCAATCAGAAGAATATTCTGAGAACTGAACTTACCTCTGAACAGATTGCTATTAACAAAGCTTGAAAAATATAAAACACTAAGAAGTTGGTATAACTTGAGTAGTTTTTCTTGGGGTCAAATTTTGTGCTTCTCTTAGAACAAACTCTTTGGAATATTCAGTATCCAAACTAGAAGGTTTATTCTAGAAGTAGGAGTAGACTGGCCCTTACTGAGATAGTATTGTCTTGAAGAATTAACTATATGACTATAAAACTTATAAAAAACCTCATATATTTTCATTGGCCTCCACTTTTTTTTGGTGAAAATTTTGTAAAAAAGTAGGCAATTTAGTTTATTTTTTCTAAAAGATCGATATATTATTTATTTATCAAATCAGGCAGTATTGTTTATATTTTTATTTGTTATAACAAACATATGAATATATATAGAACATAAACATATGGATTACATATCTTGAACATAGTGACCTGAAAAAACAATACTCTGAGCCCAACAGTACAATTTCTGAATTCTTTATAGTACTGATTTTGAAAAAGTTGATTTTTTTTTTCTTAAGAGGTTTTTTGCTTAAACATATTAATTATATATATTAGTGTAGAGAATAGTTTAGATAGTAATATATAATTTTTAAAAAGCTTAATACAGGTTTATAATTGTAATCATCTAGTGTGAGTAAAAAATCCCATATTTAGTTTAGTTTTCTTGTTCTCTCTTACCTTCTTTCTTTTCTTTTATTTGTTTTTTTTTATATACTCCTCTATACTTCTGTATTTGGTTTAAATTTTTTTTTTCTTTTACTTCTCTACAAGAAGATATCATCAGATTGGTGATATTCTATTGTAGGGTGTAGTCGGATGAACCTCCAGACGGGTATTATCTTAATTGATTATACCTTACTAGTGCAGCCAAATTATTTGTAGATATATATAAATAATTGGTTAGATTATGCGAAGTAATCGCAGAATATCAGATTCTGGTTTTAATATTCGACACTCTCTACAGAGTTGTAACTTGATTAAATAAAAGATACTAATACAACATGTCTAAGTAAAAAAAAAAATAAAAAAATATTAATCTAGTTATTTTGTGTTTTTAAAATATTCTTCTAGTTTAGATATTGAATCAATAGAGAAGTTTACTAGCAAGCAGGAACCCAGAAAATTATCATATTGATTTGAAAAAAATATCGATTTAATTTTTAAAAAATATTAATTTATTTTGATATAAATACAAAAAATATTGATTTGATTTTGATAATTTTTTTAAAAATATTGATTTATACTGATAAAAATTTTATTTTAACCAAAAAAAATTTTTTTTTTGTTTAGAAAGTTAAGTAACTACTGTAAAAAACCCCCCAGAGCTTTTTTTTCTTGTTCTTTGGAAGGCCAAAAAAATTAGATAATAACCAAGGCAAAGTGCTTAACAATACACTTTCTAAGAGGTTTTTTTCTTGTCAAAATATCGAATTTAGATTAATTTAATACCTTGAAAAATTTTTTTATAATCAGATCGATTTGATATTAACTTACCATGTGACTGTAAATAGCCAATCAAATCATAATTTTGGTAAAAAATATTGATTTATATCGATTTGGGTAAAAAATATTGATTTGTATCAATCTATACAAATCAATAATTTTCCGGGTCCCTGCTAGCAAGAAGTTTAACTTCTACAAAAATTATCCAAAATAGACTACTTCTTAGTTTTATATTCTTGATACTTTATTAATAATATATTTACTTATATAGAACCAAGTTTATTATTAATTTTAGTATTTTTATAACATTTTTTATAGTTTGAATTTTTTGAACTTGTTGACTAAGGAATTATTAGAAAGAGTTTTTTTGATTATATATAATAAATATGATTTAAAATTTAGAGAATTTCTAATTGTATATTAGTATATACACATATTATTACACAAAATTATTAGAAAAGCTAATTAAAATTTAAGATCAGGTGTAATATATAGATTATTTTTTGTGTAACAAAACCAAACTGTTTTAGTAAAAATTAAAAGTCTTAATATCGTAAAGTTTTACATATAAAACTATCTTTGGCATTTTAATTAAAAAAATTTCTTGCTAAATTTTGTATATAACTATATCTTTACTAAAATTTCAAGTCTTGCTCTAACTCTAAAGTTAAAGAAATTTAATTTTTTTTAATAAAAATTTGTTTGTTTATTTTATTATATATGTACAAACACATGTGTATATTTAGAAATTTTCTAAAATTTATATTAAAAATTTTTTATTTTTTTATAATAAATAATTTGAAAATTACTTAATTTATACTAGGTGTATATATACCATACTAATTTATTGATTTACAAATTTGTTTAATATATAAATTATAAACGAAAAATTAGTATAGTTTAGGTGAGAGTAATTTTAAGATTAGAGAAGGTTATAGTTTATACTAAAATTTTGCAAAGAATCTTTTTTGTTAGAACCCCGAAGTGGGTTTTATAATCAAAATTTCGAGAAATCAATATATGTGTGTATATACATCTGGTATACAAATAGTAATCGTCAAATAATTTTATACTTTATATTTTATTTGTTTATTTAATTTTTTGTTTATTTTGTTTTGTAATTTTTTATTTAGATTTTTATATATTTAATTTGCTAGTTTTAAATATAAAATAATATTAAAAAATAATTATCTTTTTATTTATAGACTAATTTGAGACAAAATTGTTTTAAATTTTATTATAAATTTGCTTCTAATCTATTTTTTAAAAAATTAAAATATTATTAAAAGAGAAAATATTTTTTGTGCACCTGCATGGTTGTATACCCTTATAAATCAGCAAATAAAATTAGAGATTACATATATATAATAATTTTTGATAATTGTTGTTTTTTTTTATTATTTGTACAGTATTTTGCTTTTGGTGCTTTTGCTTGTGTCACTTTTGCTTGCTTTTGCCACTCACGATTTTGCTACTTTCACTTTTGCTATTTTTGCTTTGCTGTTTTTGCTTTTGCTGCTCTTGCTTTTGCTATTTTCGCTTTTGTTGCTCTTTCTTTTTTTGCGTTCGCTTTTACTACTTTTGTTTTGTTCCTTTTTCTTTTGCTATTTTTGCTTTTGCTACTTTCACTCATTATCTCTTTGCTTTCTTTTTTTTTATTTTCTTATTTTTCTTTTCCTTCTTTCTTTTCTTTCATTTTCCTTTCTTTTTTTTACTTTCTCTGTTTCTTTCTTTTCGTTTATTTCATTTTTTACTTTTTCCACTTCTTCCTTTTCATTTATTCTATTTCTTCCTTTTTACTTTTCTCTTTTTTTTCTCTGTTTTTCTTTTCTTTTTTCTTTTTTCGTTTTCACTTTTTCCATTTCATTTTTTTTTGTTCTATTTTTCTTTTTTTTCTCTTTTCGCTTCTCTTTTTTTTTCTTCTCTTTTCTCCTCTTCATTTTTTTCATTTTTCTCTTTTTTTTCATTTTTTTTCATTTTTTTTGTTTATTCTTTTTCATTTTTTCTATTTCTTTCTTTTTATTTCTTTTTTTCTACTTACCTCTTTCCTTTCCTTTTGCCTTTCTTTTCATTTTTTATTTTTTCTTTTGTTTTCTCTTTTCTCTTCTTTTCTTTTTCTCATTTCTTTCTTTTGTTTTCTCTTTTCTCTTCTTTTCTCTTTCTTATTTCTTTCTTTTCATTGTTGCAGGTATTATCATTGGTGCTGCTGTTAGATTTTCTTCTTGGTATCATCATTAGTGTCACTGTTAGATTTTCTTCTTGGTGTCGTCATTGGTGCTGCCGTTAGATTTTCTTCTTGGTGTGTAGTCTTGCATATTTATTCGGTAGGTAGTCTTGTACATTTCTTCGGTAGTAGTCTTGCATATTTCTTTGGTGGTGATCTTGCACGTTTTTTCAGTAGTGGTCTTGCACATTTCTTCAGTAGTAGTCTTGTATGTTTTTTCAGTAATGGTCTTGCTTATTTCTTTAGTAGTGGTTCTGCACATTTTTTCAATGATGGTCTTGCACATTTCTTTGGTTGAATATGGTGGGTTTCTATTGTTTTTTTTTTTTTTGGTGTTTGTTTTTTCTTGTATTTATTAATGTTTCTCTTCTTTTAGGCTTGACTTTGTTGAAGTCGTCATTCTTGAAGATCGTTAGAGTTGGGAAAGTATTGTTTAGTTGGTTTTTTTTTTTTTCTGTATTTACTAATATTTTTCTTTTTTCAGACTTGATTTTGTCATTAAAGTTGTCACTCTTGAAGATATTAGAATCGTCTTAGATTCGGGTAAGTTTTTTTTATTCGTGTAATTTTTTTTTTTGGTGTTTGTTTTTCTTGTATGTATTAACATTTTTCTTCTTTCAGGCTTGACTTTGTTGGAGTCATCATTTTTGGAGATTGTACTCTTCTCTTCATCTAGACCAACTTCGTCATTGAAATCATCAATATTGAAACTAGTTGTTGGCACTTTTGTTGTAGTAATACGATATCATTTTCATCACTTTGTTTTTTTTTTTAGTTATAGTGTGATTTGCCGTTTGCCGTTTTCTTTTCTTGTCCTTTTTTTTTTTTTTTATTAATAATAATAAAAAAATAAAATTCTTAAAATTTTTTTATAAAATTTGTAATTGATGCTAATTGGCTAGTTATGAGCAATTGATCATATATTTACGTGACAGTTTTGATTGGTTGATCACAGGGTGTACGACCGTGCAGGTGCACAGGGGTGCATGATCATGCAGGTGCACAGAATTTTTAAACCCTTATTAAAATAATTTTTTTATCATAATTAAAAATAAAGATTATATAATTATAAATTTTAATTTTATATTATAAGAAAATTTTTAAGATTAGTTATAAATTTAAGGCTATACAAATTAATTTTTTAGTTTTTATAATATAAAATTTAAAAAATGATCTAACAATTTGATTTTTAATTTTATTTTTAAAAAATTTTATATAAAATAAGTATATAAAAATTTTTATTAATTTTTTAAAAAAATTTTATCAAGATAATAAATATAGTTAAAAATTTTTAAAAACTTTACAAACTTTGATTTAATTAGATTATAAGAACTAATTTATTAAATTTATATAATATAAAATATTAGTTTTATATATTTTTTTTACTTCAGCAATTCTACCTTTAGGGATATGACAAAAATTAGATGATTTTTTAGGGAGGGGGTAAAAAATTTAAAATTATATATAAAGATCTGATCATTATATATAGTAAGAGGGGGGGAGGAGGTAAGCCTCTAATAAAAAAAAATCAGGTGATAAATGACACTGCCCTTATTTTATAAATCAGAAGTAGATTACAAAATACTCTCAGTTAGCTATAAATCATTAAACTACTATATTTCTGTTCAAATAAAGATTCTCTTGATCTGTCTCATTATTGCAGTAAAAATAAGATAAACCCTAAATTTTACACTAGAGTATGATCTAGAAATGATCTATCTAAGTAACAATATTCCTCCTTTCAGGATTCTCAACTTACTGAGGATATAAGCTCTAGATATTAACAGATAGAAGCACCAACCTTGTCAAAATTACTACTTTACAATAGAGTGCTACCAATTTGATGATACTTTCTTATAGAGAAGTAAAAAAAAAAAAAAAAAAAAAGTAAGAGCAAAATGAAAATAGAAAAAGTAAAAAAAAGAAATATATAAGAAAATGACCAAACTAAAAAAGAATTAAAAGACTATTTTAAAATTTAAAAAAACTTGTTTACAAATATAAAAACCTGTTAACCAGATAAAAAACTATCTATATAGTCATAAAAATCTATATATAGAGCTATCTGACAAAAAGAAACTAAAAACTAAAGTACACTTTAATCTGTGCTAAGAACTAAAAATTATATACATATGACTTCAGAATACTGTATATTTCTAATATATTACTCTAACTTGTAACTTTCATTTAAATCTACCTTAAATTCTAGAACACTGATTTTAAAGCCTCAATATATGATCGTCAGTTCTATTTATAATAGGCCACTCTTTCCAAAATTCTCTTACAGTTTTTTCTATATAGCCCTGCTTCTTTATTATATGAGATTAAACAGAGAGTTTTCTCTATAGTCAACCGGTATCATTGAAAGCTATTTTCTCAGGTCTGTCACATAAGCCTTCATTTCTGTATAGTCAAACCGATCCAAACACAGGACTTTCATGTACTTCAATTTAATCTAAACAGAACTTTCTTCTTATACGTGATTGTTGTATTTTTTATCTATCATATCGTAACTCGAGGCTTTCTAAAAGTAAAAGTAATAAACAATGCTGATCTTTTGAAAGGTATAGCCAAATTTCTCATTTTTTAATGAAAATTATGAAAAAAGAGAATGACAAAAAAAAAATATAGTTGTGCAAGTTTTTTAATTAAGGAGTATTATTTCAAGAGTTCTTCATAGCCTTCAGTTTCTAGAATAACTTGAGTCTTCTCTCTACTTACTATTCCCAAAGACTTCTTCGATTTGGATACCAAATATAAAAAGAAGTTCACTCAAGAGAAGAAAGAGCTTGACTCCTTTGCAAACTATCTAAAATGTCTACTTCTCAGTATATCATGTTTAAGACTTCATTGATAATAGTTTGTATTAAGAAAACTACAAGTTATTTGTTTACTTCTGGTCTTGAGTCTTCTACTTGCTTTTAGATACTGGTCGGTACAAATAATCATTGGGAAGAATTGTTATTTATTTTTGTAAATATTAATTTTATAAAAAAATTATTTAATTTATTTATTCTTAATAAATTTTATAATTATTAAATTTAAATCTATAGTTTTAATATAATATTATAATTTAGATAAAGAATTACAATTTTATTATAAGTTTTTTTAATTTATTTATAAAAAATAAAACTAGTATTAATAGTAAAAGTTTTATAAATAGAAATATATAAAAATTTAAAAACTTTAAAAAATTTAAACATTTTTAAATTATTTGTCATTCAAAAATTTTTCAATAATTTCAAAAAATTTTTGTAACTAAATTGTTAAAATAAATTTTAAAATATATTTTTTACTTAGAAAATATATAGCTAAAATTCAAATTTAAGATTTTATTTAAAAATTTCTTTTTTTTCAGACAACTCTTTTTGACGATTCTCTGGTCAACAACAATTAAAACTGAACTACAAAAAAATGATATAAAAACTTTCAAGACAGATACTATTCTTAGTCCTAACTCGAGTAGCTTGTTGTCAACAAAGCCTAGAAGATGTGAAACACTGAGAAGTGGGTGTTAAATAGGTGGTTTTTTTTAGAGTCAAGCCTTTGCTACTTTGTGTAAACTCCTTAAGATATTTGGCATTCAAACCAGAAAGGTTATTTTGAAAACAAGATTATTCAAATTAGATTGTTGTCAATGAAACCTGAAAGATGTGAAATACTAAGGAGCAGGCGTAAACAAAGTGGTTTTTCTTGAGGTTAAACTTTTTTTCTTTGAGTGGACTTCTCAAGTTATTTGGCATCCAAACCAGAAGGTTTATTCTAGGAATAAGTTCTCTAAATTAGTAGAAGCCTGTAAAAATGTATATACAACTGTAAAATCTACAGAAGAACCTCACATACTTTCATTGGCCCACCACTTTTTTTTGAGACAATTTTTGTAAAAAGTGGGTATCTCAGCTTACCCCTTCTAAAAGATCAATATCACATGAACCAAAATAGTTGACATTGTTTACTTCCCAAATTGAATAGATGACAACAAACACTGCAGTGATTCGCACATGCCTCAAATACAGAATATTCATATAAACAATGCTCTGAGATAGTATCTGACCTTTTTACAAGTTTAGTCGATGAAGTTTTCCCATGTAGTTTTTTATTTTGATATACTAAGTAAATAAATTTAAAGTAGAGACTATTTTATTTAGTAGTATATAATTTTTACAAGCTATTCACAAACTTATAACCATGGTATTAGGTTACACAATTTTCTTTCTGTTTTATTTGTATTACTCTTTTACTCTCTTTACTTCTTGATTGTATCTTTTTACCATAATCTTCTATACTTCTGTTTTGTTTTTTTAAATTTTTTTTTGTTTTTTGCTGCTTAATGTGAGACATTAGCCCCCAGCTAAGGATCAGAGAGATCAAATCCTCAGTAAGTTGAAGATCCGATGTAAAGTGAAATGGCTACTTTGACGGATCGCACCTGGGCTTTTTGGTCGAGTAAGTCTTTATTGAAATAGAATATAGTACAAAAAATTATGTCAAGAATCACCAGCCAAGAAATATGGTTTTTTGGTACTTCTAAAGAAATAATAAAGGCAGGATCATCTAAAAAAATAATAAAGGCAGGATCATCTAAAAAAAAAATAAAAATTTCTTTAAATTAAAAGCAAATTTGCTTTTAATATAGATGAAAAGATAAATATATTAAATTAAAAGCTTATAAAAAGTAAAATCTAAACAATACCAATTAATAAATTGCATTTAATATAAAATAAAAAATATAAAAAATATAATTATAAGATATCGTCTTTTTATTAATATTCAATATATATATATATATATATATAATTATTAATTATATAAGTTTAAAAACAAAAATTTTATATAGAATATAAACTATCTGGTAAAATTAAAAAACTTGTTTTGTGTCCTGCAAGTATCTTACCAAACTCAGACTTTAAAGTAGTAGTACAATAATAGTATTTAGGGGCCATATACGAGTATCCAGATAAGACTAGGCTTAGAAATTAGATAGTTTTTGGTTAAAAATTATTTAACAAAGCATTTACTTCAAGTGATTAAGATTCTAATAAAGTGCCTAGCATGATCACTAAATTTAAAAAAATAAAAAAATAAAAAA